AAAAAAGTAAATCATAAGCAAATTTATAGCAATTTTTCAGGCAAATTTGCCTGGAATTGCTTACAGTTTAAGGGATAATTTTATAATATTTCTATATGTCTAGCTATACTAAAAAAGATTCAAATTTTTAAGCTTTTAAATTTATATACATAATTGACTTTTTGGCAATACTAGAAAGGTTTATTTTATTAACAATTAATTTCTCATTAAGCTATATTAGATTATTTTGATTTGATCTATTTCATAAAGCCAAGTCTAGATAACAATCTAATTTAGTTAGTTTAAAATCAGTTTATTTTTATTTAATAAAAATATAAAAATTTAAATAAATATAATTAATACTATAAACTGAAATTATTATTACAAAAAAATTATATAAAATTTTTTTTTTTTTAAAACATTTTAATTAATGATCCGCCAGTCACCTGGTGCATGATCATAGTGTAATGTGATACAGATCACTATGTAAATTATATAAGCAGGAAATGTGGAGATTTTTTGACAATTATTTAAAGAAAACTTTTTTTCGATTAATTCTATTTAAAAAAACTAACTCTTCCCTGAACATATAAGTGTTGAGGATTGTTTTTTTAATTAAAGGCAATATATCTCTAATAACCATAACTCAAAGCTCAAATAAAGAACAAGGATCGGGAGCAATAGCCCTTGAGTCTAGAAAATGGAAGCACCTATGACACAATAGCTCTGTATTTAACACAAAAAAAGCAAAAATACAAGATCATAATTTGGAAGTCAATAATATATTTAGTTTAGAACAAGTCAAACTTTTGATAAGTAATAACATATATCAAATAGCACAGGCTCAGCAAGCAAGCTGAAAAGAACAAGTTAATGAAGAAATAGAAGCCTCTTCATCTTCTCAAAGTCAAGAGGTACAAAACAAAGCAAACATGTCAGTAGAGGAAAAGCAAAACAACAAGATTCTCATTGAGGAAAGTGCTAATACTACATTGACAGACAAAGAGCAACACATAAATCTCTATAGGAACACTTCAACAAACAGGGCTGAAAACAATGCAAATACACCAAAACAATGGTCAAGTTTATTCGCAAAATTGAAAAGAGGACAATCAACCTTTACTTTCTTTTCTCCCAGAGCAAATATCAAATCTAAAAATGATAATGCTTTCATATTTGATATTGTTGTAAAACAGGTTTTCGTAGATTAGCTTAGAGTAGCACATAATTTAGATTTATATTTTATATTATTTAGTTATATTTATTA